TTTGAAGCAATTAACGACTATTAATTTTTAAGCTACAGCATATAATTTTAGAGAGACTTTAGTTTGAAGATGATAGAATATTTTTTTAAAATGGCATTTGATAAATTTACCTACAAAACAAGATTATAAGCCATGAATCGTTAAAAAATAATTAAATTCATTAAATCATTTTATATTTGCTACAGACGATTTTATGCCAAAGATTGCATTTATTACTTATATTTACATTTTTGTTTCATGTGTTGTACCTCAAATTTGATGGCCAGGTATTTTAATAAGATAACTAAAAGAGATTTAGCAGTGAAAATGAATGAAAAATGCTGTTTTTTATCACTTTTTCGAAAAAATTTAATGTTTAGATGCTTTGAGCGACCTCTAAGTATTAAGTTACAGCGCCTGCTCTTCAAGGGTCTCCATTTGAGCGTTCGTAGAACGAATTTAAGGGGTGAGACTTAAAATCAAATTTTTGAACCAAAAATATTGCCACCTTAATCACTACATTTTATTTTTTTACGAGCAAAAATTCAATACACATAGTTTTATAAATATAGGTACACAGTATTACAGTTAACACAATCAGCGATATTGTATCTTAGAAATGAACAATACAACGCGATGAGAAACAAATGTGTTAAGTATTAAATTGTCGATTAATGTCATCCACTTGTAGTCAGGGACTCAATTATCGAATGACATCCGAGAGAGTTTGAATTCTCCGCGTACCAAATATTCAAGACGCATGAAATCAATAGCAGAATATTGAAGGTAAACGAATGTTAAGGAAAGATACGCACGTATATTTCGACAACCGTTTGCAGTCAAATGGCATCTTTTTCATCCAAATTCATTTGTTGCTAATGCACTACTGCGAATTTCATACAACATTTTCTCTGCACAGTTAGCCCAGATAGAGACAAAAAAAGGTGTTTTGATGCAAAAAGTCAAGGATTATTCATACTTGGCAATTTTGTTCATTTTGAGGTCCTAATGAAAACCCTAAGTTTGCGACCTTGGCAAGCTGCTGCTCGTGCCATTTTACAAAAATGGCGCCAAACTTTGGTTTTTCGCAAATATCTCGTTTCCACTACAATTTAGAGCAAAAGTTTTCCACACAAAGTTGTAGAGCATACAATTTTCTACAACTTTTGTTTCAAACATTTTTTCTCAGATAAATAGTTTACGAATTATAGCAGAGGAAAGTGGAGTTTTTTTGTAATTTGTGAAAATAATGGATTTTTCCTGAAAATTTGAAAAATTATTGATTATATTATTATCATTATTTTATATTAGTATATCATTATATATGTAAATACGTATAATATATCATTAGTATATCATATTATGTAACATATATACACAGCATATACACACGTATACATATATACATAGTACTTTAGATTCATTTTAAATTAACGCCATTTGTAGTAAAATCTTTTCAGAGGAACGAGACTGGAAGCAATCAAAAGCCGAGAGTTTAAGCTTTAAAATGCTTTTTTAATAATGTTTTTAAATAATTTTTTTTTAATAATCAATAATTTAAGTAGTTTTACATCATTTAATTACGTATTTTCGTAAAAAATAATCACAGAGCGATGTTTAAAAAAGCATTTTAAAGCTTAAACTTTCAACTTTCGATTGCTTCTAGGCTCATTCCTCTGCGAAGATTTTATTGCAAACGGCAGTAATTTAAAATGGACCTTGCAAAATTAAGATCAGATGGCGTAACCAATTTAAGTAGTTTTACATCTTTAATTACGTATCTTTGTGAAAAATGATCGTAGAGCCATGTTTAAAAATGCATTTTAAAGGAGAAATGCTCACCTTTACAATACAGTCAATAAAATTTGCGAAAAAAAATTTCGTTTTTCCCGTACAGACCATCAAAGTTAAAGTTTTTTTTTGCAATTTTGCAAGGTCTACTTTAAATTAGCGCTATTTGTAATAAAATCTTTGCAGAGAAACGAGCCTAGAAGTAATCGAAAGCTGAAAATCTAAGCTTTAAAATGCTTTTTTAAACATTGCTCTGTGAATATTTTTCACAAAGATATGTAATTAAAAGGCGTAAAACCAATTTAAGCGGTTTTACGTCATTTAATTACATACCTTCGTGAAAAATGATCGCAGAGCGATGTTTAAAAAACCATTTTAAAGCTTAAACTCAAAGCTTTCGATTGCTTTTAGTCTCGTTCCTCTGCAAAGATTTTACTACAAATGGCGCTAATTTAAAATAGACCTATAGTACTATGTATGTATATGTGTGTGTAGATGTGTATATACAAGGGTAGTCTAAAAAGTTTTGAGACTAACCGACTTAAAAGGAGACTATGTTGAAAAATTTGCCCGAAAAAATACTTGTTTGAGGCTCAAAACTTTTCAGACTGTTCACGTATGTGTACATAATATAATATACTAATAATATATTATACGTATTTACATATATAATGATATAATAATAATATAATAACGATAATAATTAATCCTTTAAATCCAGGGAAAATCCATTATTTTCACAAATTGCAAAAACGCGCTGCTCTTTTCTCTGCCATAACTCGTAAACTATTTATCTGAGAAAAGTGTTTAAAACAAAAGTTGTAGAAAATTGTATGCTCTACAACTTTGTATAGAAAACTTTTGCTCTAAATTGCAGTGGAAACGAGATATTTGCAAAAAACCAAAGTTTGGCGCCATTTTTGTAAAATGGCGGCACGAGCAGCTTGCCAAGAGGATCCCAAAATGAACAAAATTGCCAAATATAAACAATCCTTGACCTTTTGCAAACTCAAACTTACCCACTGACTGGGCTAAATGTAAATTAGGAAGCTTATACATACATATCGTCCAGCGCAATCACGATAAGTTAGCCAGACAACCAGTAATCTCATTCACTAATCAAGTCAATAGTTCGAAACTCGGTCTGCTACACCTTAAATTAAACATGCTTTTACAACCAATTAGCATAATGCAAATTGACTTAAATTTCAAAATCTATAAATATTCCTTAATTAATATAGAGTATAAGTATTTTACAGCATAATACTTTAATTAGTGACTAAAAGCAAACTAGTCACTTTTTTCGCGTGAAATTAATTTAAAGAGGATAAGAGATATCTATAGTTTAGGTGTTTAAATGAATAAGAAACTTTGTAGCTTTGACAGATTAAAAGCAAACTAGTCAATTTAAATAAGTCATTATTTAGAATAAGTCACCTAAGTGTAGTTGTGATAATTAGAGGAAAAATAATGAAAATACAGAGTAATAAAGAAAAGAAAGAATTATGTACTAAATTAACAAAATAGAATATAGGAATCGAATAAATAATGTTTGGAAATAGCTGAAGAAAAAAGAATAAAAGATACTTGTCAGAGCAATTTATAAGTTTGTTAAGAAAATTAGGAAAATTATAAAAAAATATAATAAAAATAAATCTAAAAGTCTCTTTAAAGTTAAAAAACTTTAAACAAATTAAAGATACTATAAACTGATATAAAAAAGAAAATTTATTTCATTGAAAATTTAACATTAATTATTTTTAAATGTTATAATTAAAAATGAAAAATTTTTCGCGTTATTCAATATTCAAAAACAATATGATAATTGTGGTGATCTAAGGATTGCTCAGCGTCCTAAGTCGCAGCTACCGATTACATCAAATAGCATGGAGAATCTTGTTCCACTTCTGGCAAGTACCATTCCGTGGAGTCGATGGAATCCATCCCTTTGGAATCTGTCTTGGAATCTGCCACCGTTAGCGCTATCTCCAATACAGATTTGCTTAACTTGTCCATAGATACCATTAAATTTTGTGCAATTTGCGTGACTATCGTCCCTATTTCGCCACGGAGTTGTCTTTGCTGACGGTGTGGTAAGAATTCACCAAAATATTTATACCTCTCAGTTTTGTTACAAAATGCATCCACAGAGGTACATAAAGATGTACGTCAAGCAAAGTGCACTTCTTGGCAATTGTCAACGCAATCTTTGAAACAACCAAGGGTTCACTGGAACGTTGAAGATGTAACCCCCGAGATATCGTGAGTTGAAATTTGAAAGACATACAGGAGAAAGCTATAGAAAGAGCGAAATAATTCTCAGCATTAATGCGTTTTCACATTTTGTATTTCTAGTCCGCTACCTACCACATTCAACAAATAAAACTGGAAAAATTGGATGACGTAAAAGGAAGCAGTTGTAAAGGCTGTTGTACCAAAGGATATGATCAGATCGATTATCTCATACTTGTCCGCATAGGCCGTGTACATTACATTGTTAAAATACATTATATTCCGTTATTTTATTATTTTTATCATCATTTTAGCAGACGTTATATGTAACATTTCGCCTTTTTTAACCCTAGACAGACTCACTTATTTTTCTCATACGTGAATGACTCACTGGGGTGTTAATAACCCCAAATTTGTACCGCGTGTATAATATTTCCAGAATGTTCTTAGAAAACTTTATAATAGATAATTTTGTTTGTTGCTTAATAAGGAAGATGATAGTAGTCATCAATTTGCGATAGTAAAAAAAAACCAGTAAAAAAATTTCAAAAAACAAGAAAAAGAACCAAAAATTGGACTGAAATGACTATTTTTATAAAAAATGCTGTAGTTTTTCATAAAATTCACCGATTCTAAAATTTCCAACGGATTTTGAAAGACGAATAGACAACCTTCAAGGGCATGTAAGCGATTTTTTCGTTTCTTAAAAAAAACATATTTCTTTGAACATCTGAAGTAGAAGAAATGACGAAAAACTGTCGGATGGGAAAAATCGCAAGAAATGGAAAGTAAAACAGATTCTGTCGATTATTATTTATTTGACAGGTAGTTAAAAGTTATAAAAGTATATGGAAACAATAAAATTAACTCCACAAAAACTTTACAAAGTTTTAATCAGTTGCTGTGCAAGAACAGCAAAAATGAAATAATTGACCGAATCTTAAACAATTATATATGAAACAGGGGTAGAATTTTCCGGGGAGTGCTATAAAGTATATAATTTTTCGTTACCGATTTTTACAAAAAATCTGAAATATACTTTACTGTGGTAAATGTCGAGCGTAAATGACTCACTGGGGTGTACGATACCCCAAACGATTTTCTTTTTCGGTCATAGCTGCTGCACGGATCTAACGCACTCGTTGAATCACAGAGGTCGATTGCCGGATGACTAAACTGAATTATGGTTAGGGTCTCGGTATGAAAACTAACCTTTCTAAGACAGGGGCTCAATTTGAATTTCGCGTGGGGTCCCGTACACCCCAGTGAGTCTGTCTAGGGTTAAATGAGGGAAAAACCAAAATAACATTTGTTTCAATAATATCTTCTAATCTATTTTGTTGTCATGTTATTTCATCAATTTCACAATCATGTAACAAAAAAAGTCATAAAGTATATCAAGGGCGTCCACAGAATTTTTTCCAGGGGCCGACCAGGGGTTTAAAACTTATACACCATTTAGCAGTAATAACTTTTTTTATTAGCTAGATTTATTGCAATATCTCATTTGTCAGAAAGCAAAGGTAGGCGTTGATTAAGGATCCTGAGCTCTTTCCAACATCTTATGAGATTGTGACATCAGAGAAATAGCACGCTGAAATTCGTGCGTGCCATTTCCAAATAAAAAGTTATTTGCATAAAATAACATTTTAGATCACTTTAGCACACTTCAAAAATAGTCCAAAGTCTATCCCTTTCCTTTAACAGTTAATAAACAGCCATAAAACGAATGTAATACAATGCAGGATTTTATGCGCAGGCGCATGACTAGCTTCGTATTACATTTATTTTATGGCGGTTTATTAACTGTCAAGGGAATAAACCTAACCTAACCTTGTATTATTTTTGAAGTGGAGAGTTCCGTTTGAGCGGCCTAACGAGACGGACGTGTTAGCGCGAATCGGCACTTAACCTAGTTTGGAATATACTTAGTTGCGTAGAGGGATATAATCGGTCGATGCAATCTTGAGGTCATATTTTCGGTGTTCTTTGGGCTGGAATTTTTGGGAGGGAATAAAGAATTTTTGTGGGCTCCCCCCTCGGAGGGGGAGCGGTATACCTTTTTTTTTCTTTCTTCCCGCTGTTTAAGAGACGATTGGAGATGGAGGTCTCGGATGAAGTGAGAGAGGATATTGGGTATCAGGCCACAGATTCAGATCAATTGATCAATAATCGCGTCAAGACTGGCTTGTCGGAGAAGGACTTTGACAAAATCATCGAGGAAATTAATACCGAGAGACCGAAAGAGAAAGAAGCATGGACTGTAGTGCGGCATGGGGACCGTAGTGGTGCGAAGAGGCGAAAAACGGGAGATGCAAATAATCCGGAAGACGTAAAGAAAAATAAAAAGGAAATGTGCAATAGCAATGTGCAATGTGCATAGCGATCTTTTAGTTAATCAAGCTTCCGCGAATTCAGATGCGTTTACAGGTGCCCACGCAGTACCGGCTGATGACGCACGTGATCCAGGCATGCTCAACTCACAGGTGCCGCCTGTTATTACACGTGATATGGAGATGCGCAACACGCAGGCTACGGTGGAAAGAGAGATATACAGGGTATGCGGATCGAAATTGATTGAGAGCACAGCACCCATGGGCGAAGTAGAGAGCAATCTAAATAGATTCCCCGACGATCAGGAGGGTAAGGTATCATTGTCCCTCCGGCTCCCCCCAGAGCAAACATTAACGAGAAAAAGTAGGAATCATATTAAAATATGGATGATCCTATCTGAATTAAAGATCCGTCCAATCAATGTCGTTATGTTAAATCACTTTGCGGCTGAAGCAGAATTTGAAAAGGGATCATCGGCTAATTTTGCGCTAGAACAAATAGAGAGACTTAAGACTAAAAAGTTAACTGCTAATATAGAAAAACACCAATTTTTTTGTAAAGGTGTTATAATGGATTGGCCTTCTGCGATCCCTGATCTGTGGGCAGCTATTAGCGATAAGACAAATATAGTTAGTTTGGAACGTATGTATAGACGTAAGTGGGACGCTACAAATAGGACTGCCTCTCTTGTAGAAACAGATAACATTATTATTACTTTTAGAGATAACAAATTGAGAGACCTTAAAATATTTAATAATATGGTTGACTTGAGAGTACGACCTTATATCACGCAGGTTAGACAGTGTTATAACTGTTTTAGATACGGACACACAAAGAACGCATGTAAGAGCGAGACGAAATGTATTATATGTGGTGACAAGGCCCACGGTCAATGCTCTAAATCGGTGAGGTGTTGTAATTGCGATGGTCCTCATAGATCCACGTTTAGAGGATGTCCTATTTTTGATAAAAATAAAAAAATCAATGTTGTGAAAGCGCAAAATAATATCTCATTTTACAGAGCACGAAAAATTGTTGAAGGCGGTGACGCTTCAGTGTTGTCCAGCCAAGATAGATACGTGAATCCGGGGGCGTGGCCCACTCTACCGGAGCCCAGAGGTGGCATGATGTACTCCGCAAAAACTAAATCTAATTCCCGGAACGAGGTAGAATATTCTAAATCAAAAAATGACTACAGGGATAAACATCCCCGTGATGAGACTCAGAAGGACAATAGGAGGATAGCTCCCTCCCGCTCTTTTTATAAACAATTTAACCTTCGAGAAGAGGAAATTAACCAGAACAGGAGAGGCTTGGCGCTGGGGGCTTGTCGCAGCGGTGCAACTGTGGAAAGTGATAGCAAGGATGCTTCCTCCTACGAGGGGAGGAAAGGCATGATGTTTTCTGCGGGGATTTCGAATGCCAGAGATATTGTCGAGAGAATCCTTTTATTGTTACAAAGTTGTCCACAGGTGAAAAGCCTTTTGATTGAGGCACTCAAGCGAATGGATGTACGTGGACTATTAGAAGGGAGTTCTCAGCGACTCAGAGAGACTGTCGAGATGGAATATGAAACTCAGTTGAACAACGAGGGGGAAACTTCGTTTTCCCATTTGACGGAATAATTCAGTTTATTGTTATGGAATTGCCAGGGTTTCAGAGGCCGTAAGCAGGAGTTATCTAAGAGAGTCATGGACTACGATATAGTGGTCCTTACGGAAACAAAATGTTCGGAACGCAGTCAGGTCTATTTCCCTGGATTCAGAACTCTGAATAGTGATAACCTCTTGGGTAGCGGTGGAGTCTCAATCTCAATTCGTTCACATATGGATTTTGATGTTGTCCCCATCGTGGCTCCTCCGATTGGGTATGATATAGTCTATATTAAAACAAAGAATTTGAATCATAACTTTAATTTGGTAGCTGTTTACAGACACCCGAGAAAGGCTATTGCTAGACAGGATTTTCGGGCAGTGTTCAACTCTTTGCGGGGTATTGGAGAGGATGTTATTATTCTTGGAGATTTCAACGCGCATAATACTCTCTGGAATTGTGATTCAACCAATGAGAGTGGGGACACTCTGTTGGATATTATGAACGAAAATGATTTACTGTGTATGAACGTGGACACGAAATCACGACTAGGCTACAGTGGTCAGCGTGACTCCAACCTGGATCTCTTGTTTGGCTCTGTGAGCTTGATTGATGTGATGGAGTGCAGTCAGGAGGATGATAATTGGGGAAGCGATCATTTTCCATTGATTTTTCGAATTGATCGACAGACACAAATTTATAGAAAACTAACTAATCGGCTTTCCACCAAAAGAACGGACTGGGAGCGATATCGTGAATTAATCTCTAAGGACTTTGAAACATTTTTGGTAACGAATGCGGTTATTCTTGATTCTAATATTGATTTTTACTATAAGGCATTTATAGAAATTCTCAAGAATGGTATTGCCAGAGCTTCAGGAAGAAAAACAATAACCATGGAAAATAAGGAGCCAAATAAAAACAAGAGATCCCATAGATGGTGGGATGCGAAATGCGATGAGGTGATCGGGAATAAGAAATCTGCTCTTTCTGCTTTTAGGAAACATAAATCCGTTCACTCCTGGGTTGAATACAAAAGGTGCCGTGCGTTGGCTAAAAAGACTCTCAACGAGAAGAAGAAAGAAAATTTCAAGGAATTTTGCCAGGGAATAAACAGATTTACGGACCCTGGATATGTCTGGAGGACTATCCGTATATTTAAGAAGGCCAGGAATAACGTTACTTGGAATAAATGGCAGTCCACTGACAGAAAATCGGAAATCCTTTATCTTTACTCTCCTTTTCAAAGTCATACTCCTCCTCCCTACAACCTCCTAAGTTTCCTATTCTAATATTAAAATCACCTCCTATAATAATATCTTCTCCTTCGCATCCTTCGCATTGCTCTGTTATTTTTGCCATTATCTCTTCAACATCTTTTTTTGCTCCTACATTATATACTGTAAAAATATTTAGCCCTTTTTCCTCTTTTACTATTCTCGTTCACGCAATTCTTTCTGTAATCATTATACTTTTATAATTCTCCACTTCCGCCATCCAGCCTTTTCTAATACCTATTAGTAAACCTCCCTTCGCCCTACCCTTCCTTTTTTTCCTTACAGCGTTATTGTTTTTCCAGATGTGCGTTTCTGGCAATCTACCCTTAATTCTATTCCATCCCTTTTTCTCTAACCATGTTTCACATAACCCTATAAAATCGAAACCTAATATGTAATTCCAACAATCTTTGTCCTGCCTCTCTATACCTGCTACATTCCAAAAAATTATCTTTCGCCCATTTTCTTTCTTTATCTGCTTCACTTTTTCGTCCTCCATTCGTGTTGTTTGCCTATTGTCCTCTTGAATGCCACGACTTACTGATACTCTTCTCCTAACTTAGCAGTCCTCTGGAAATTTTCCTTTTCTATTAGCTTATTTTCTTCCTCGCTCCATATATACTTTCTACCTTGTATCTTTAGCTTCCTAAAACCTATTTTCATCCATTTTCCTTCTGTTTTCTCTTTCCATGCCCTTTCTTTTATCCGTCTTTGCACTTCTCTGTCCTCAAAAGTCAAGTCGTAATCAATGAAAATTTTCTTACTTCCCAGCTTCTTCTTCTCCTTCATGATGTTATCCTTCGCTTCCCAGCAGTCCATTTCGACTATTATTATCTCTCTTCCTACTCTGCCTGTTGACCGCATCTTCTTCACTCCCGCTTTTGCACCAAACTTTCTCTCAAGAAACGTCTCCGCTGTGTCTATTAAGTTCTTATTTTCTTTTTTATGTAGTCCTCTGTTCACTAAATTATTTTTCTTTTCTTTCCTTTCCTTCATATTTCTTTCTCTCTTCCTAACCATCTCCGCCACCTTTCCCACAATCTCCTCCATTTTGCCGCCGGTCGCCTCATCCGTTGTGTTTTCACTCCTTCGTTCGATCTTCGATAGCCTCTCTTCTAACTTATCCATCCTTTCCTCTACCTTTTCTTCTTTTTTTCTCCGACTTTCTTCTAAGACGTTCATCCTCTCTCTCATCTCTCTCATTTCGTCCCTCAGGTCCCTCATTTCGTTTCTAATCTCTCTCAAGACTGCTAATAGCGAACCGTCCTCTTCATCCTTCTTTGTTGCTGACAGAACTTTGTTCCTTCCTTTTCTCTCTTCTTACTTACAGCACCGACTCCATCCTTCGCTTTGTCCATACCTGGTGGCGTTCTCACTGTCTTGTTATCTCTCTTTAAAATTTCCATCGTACGTTGTTCGTTTTCCTCTCTTTTCCTCTTAACTTTCGCTAACTCGCATGCCGTACTGTTATCACTTGTCATAAAATCCAGTATGCTGAGCGAGCTCGATCTTTCTCTCATTCTTAATTCCTTCTTTCTAAGTCTTCTCTTTCCTCTTTTTTCTTCTTTTGGTGTGGCAAAAATTTCTTTACCCGTTTTCTCACTGCTTGAACTATCCGACACTGTAGCCGGATTCTCATCTTTATTCTTTATTGCTGCCTTCTCACTCTCGCCTGTCTCTCCCTCCATCCTGTACGTCCCTCGTGCACGCTCTCCTTCCAGCCAATCTCCTTAACCGCTACCTCTATGCCTAGACTGTTCCGTCTAGTGTCTAGTGTCGCTACCTACTCTATGCGTGACGAAAATCTCTCTCCCTTTTGGAACGCACAGCGATTTTTTCCCGCCTTCTCTCACCTAACCTCTCCCTTTCTCTAAAATATTTAGCGCTCTTTTCCTTCACTAATTAATATTTCCTTGCTGCATCTATTATCTTATCCTAAATTTAAGTTCTTCTTCCTACCTTTCTATCGGTTTAACGCCTACCTCGACTCCTATTTCCCTCTAAACTCTCGCCTAATTTACTTGCAACTCTCACACGCATGCACAACACACTCGCTCCACTAACCAAGTCCATTTATTTGAAAATTAATAATTAGTGAAAAATAATTATTAATTTTTTCAATAATAAATAAATAGTCTCAGATAAATTACTTATTAATCAGTATATATAGTATATATGCGTACATCTGGATTAATTCGAAAGCTTAGCCTTCATTTTTTGAAACATAAAATACCTTTATGCCACGACAGTAAAATGCGGAATACAAGTTACCGAAAAATAATGTTCAAAAGACGAATCTTTAAATGAATTAGCAATCTTTAAATAATTTAAAAAGATAACACGAGATGTTAAATAAAATTCGCCATTTAACAATAACTTCTAAAGTAACAAGTTTAATCTACGGTGACCTAAATTTAAATGTGAAAAGAAATTAAATTGTTTTAATTTCTTTTCACATTTAAATTTAGTTTAATTTGAGTTCTCAAATCGTCCCCAATCAGAAATAGATATTAGTCACGTAGAAACAAATTTCCTAATTCGTCTGAGTAATTCGATACAAATGTTCTAGTTTAAATTTGACACTACTTTGTAAAATGTTAAGTTATTGTTTTCTCTACTCTACGATCAATATAGCAATCTTTATAAATTTCTTTCTTTCTAAATATAAATATTTTACACAATCGGAAAACTATTTTACAACGTGAGTAAAGTGACAAAGTCAAAAAGCGAAATAACCAATTTTGACACGATTAAAGGGGATTATCAATGGCGATTGTATTAAACTCTAGTCTATACTGACTAAAAATCGCGGATTATGCGTGAATATTGTAGAGTTTCTTGATAAGTCTTATGTACAGATGGATTCAAGTGTTTCTGGCTTCATTTTGTCCCATGCTACTTGTTCAGCATGTCCGTTCGTTACCAGTTCTTCAGTAAGAAAAATTAGCTTAAACAAAATTAATTAATTTCAATTAATTTGCGCATCTTCAAAGAGATTTTTAAAGATTGGATAATAATAACTACTTATCTCATAATTTTGTATCATAAAATAAATATTTGCATAAATATTAGTTTGAATGCGACCTTCAATCTTGAGCTTGAGCAGCAACTCCCTTTGAGGAACAATTTTGTACCACATTGTAAGCTTCTGTCGACCATTTACCTGCAAAGGAGTAACATCAAAGTATAATTACATATCTAAAGATAAATAATTTTGAATAGAGAAGTATAATCTGGAATAATAGTACATATAACGTCAATGTATAGTTACCGTTCTTTGACTGTGTTGTGTGGCGAAAGTCACCGCTCCCTAATTGCGACACCTAGCTGTCAGCGTTACTTCTGGATCTTGCCAAACTCACCTGAGGTGGCATTCAGGGTTTTGCAAGTGGCTTCCAGGGCACTCACCCGGAAGCAAAAGCGCTGACAGCTAAGCAGCCGCCGAGTGCCCCGTATCAGCGACACCGGAGAGGCCTCGACCTACCGCACGGACTCGCCAGCCCGAGGCAGCGCCACAGGGACGCACTGAGCCAGCGAAGCAGCGCAGCAGGGACACAGCGGAGCAGAGACGACCCAAAGCAGCGGAGCGGCCCTGCAGGACTCCGACACAGCATTGCAGAAAGCGGACACCATGCGCTGCGCGGCGGTACTTTAAGTCCGAAACACTGTAAGCCGACCACGGCACGCGCCGAGCATAGAAATAGCAAGCGTCCCCCGCGATCGAACGCCGAGAATTAATTTCGCGTTCACAGGAAATACAACCGCGAACGCCGAAAGAAATTTCGCGATTACAAGGTATACAAGCGTGAGCGCCGATAGATGTCGGACGACTTACCCCGGCATCCCCCTATCAGCAACGCGTCCTTCGTGTTGAGCGAGCGCGCGCAGCAAGCAATAGAAAATAGCATCCGTAACCGTTTTTGCGCCGCACGACGTACAGACCACGATTCTTTAGACCGCGTACGACAAAACTTAGACGCGCAACTCGCCGACGACGATAGCACGCCAGTGCTCGAGTTACATCCCAACGTCATTGTAGAACGCGAATTCGAATTTCTAGATGCAAGTCTCTGTAACGCGAACGAAAACCCGCGAGATAATACAGCGAACCAAAGCGGTGACGAAAACAGTAACGCACACAGATTGCCTCCGACCGACGGTGACGTACGATCGGACACCTCGGCCGATACTCAGAGCGAGAACGCAGGGAGAGGAGAATTCTCCCTGACATCATACGAAAGCGATATATTCGACCCCGCGGAAGAGGATTATACCCCCTGGGGCGACAAAATGAGCCAGCAACGAGCTGCCGCGACCATTGCACCGCGTGAAGACATATCCCCTGCGCAAATTAGCGCCAAAATAGAGCGGCTCAGCCCGCGGAAAATGGGCAACCGTCCGAAGCCAACCAAAGTCGAGCCCCCGAGCCGACGCAAGTAAGCCCAGGAGCAATAAGCTCCGTGCTCAACGACGTACTACGCATGATGCGCGACATGCAGGAACGCATGGACGGCACAGAGACCGCAGAGTTCGAGCGCTCTGTAGAAGTCCTGCGCGCTATCCGCGAGATGCAGAAACGCGTGAGTCGACTAGAATCCGCCACTTACGATCACTCTGACGCGCGAGAGCGACGCGTACGCAGCCAGGGCCCGCTGGACGTGACCTACGGGCGGACGCAAAACGACGTCCGTAGTCAGCCAGGGCACCACATCGGATTCCTTAGCCTAAAGAAAGCCCGTAACATGATTCCCGAAATGAACGGAGAATCTAGAGAGCGCGTCCGCGAATTTATAAGTGCAAGCACGTACGCCATGAAGAATATACAGCCCGCAGATGAAACCATGCTCTTAGAAGCAATACTGTGCACTAAATTCAAAGGCAAAGCCATGACCGACTTCGACACGCGCGACATTCGCGATTTCGAGCAGTTAAAACGCGAACTCAAAACGGAATATCTCGGAAAGCGCGGCATGACCCATCTGTAGCTAGAATTCAACTCCCTTAAACAAAAGGCGGGAGAAAGCGCGCAGGAATTCGGGCGTTGAGTCGAAAAATTAGCGAGAGAACTGTACGAGGTCATGGAGGAAGGCCAAGGGCAT